AAAATGGGATTTCAAGCGTATTCTTAAAACTTGGCTCTATAAAAAGATCAGTGCCTTCTAGGCTAGTAGCACATCCATTCTTCATTTAGCTCAGTTCAAAATCTGTTTTGCTGAATTCAAAACATGTTTTCTCATAAGAAGTATTTTTGACACATATTTTTCAATGTGTAACTTGTGAGTTCCTACACTTTTCTTCCCACTCTAGTCTGGTGCTCATTCTTGCATTTAATGACTTGGGCATTTTCTCTGCAGACTATAAATATGAAATAGATTCTGCAAATCCAAAGCAAGAACAGTACTTTCCCTTTCATTTACTGTTAGGAACTATTTTCTTTGCCTTTTATTATTATTATTTTTTTTGCAACAGATTTAGTCGATGTGAAACATTTCCATGTGGCCAAAATACCACTTAATACTGTATGTTTTATTCAACTATCCACAAAAGCTCCTCAATTCCCTGTCACAATATCTAACGTTTGTTTAAATTAACATAACAAATCATACCAAGCTCTGCTTCTGCACAGGCAAATACAGATAGTGCTCAACTTACAACCATTTGTTTAGGGACCATTTTAAGTTACAATGGCACTGAAAAAGTATCTTATGACCAGTTCTCACACTTATGACCATTGCAGCATCCCCACAGTTACATGATCAAACTTCAGGTGCTTGGCAACTAGCGTGTATTTATCATGGTTGCAGCCTCCCAGAGGGCTGGGATTGTCATTTGCAACCCTCCTAGGGAGCTTCTGACAAGCAAATGAATCTGGGGAAGCCAGATTCATTTAAGGACCGCATAATTCACTTAACAACTGTAGTGATTCTCTTAACCATAGCAAAAAGTCAATAAAAATGCCTCACTTAACAACTGCCTAATTTAGCAATGGAAATTATGGGCTAAAATTGTGGTCGTAAGTCAAAGAACTATCTGTGTGGTTATCATGACAAATACTGTATACAGATTCAAATATGATAATCATTTAAGAATGAAAGTCTTCCATTCTTTTCAGTTTAAGTTGAAAGATTTATCTGACCTAAAGAGAAATCAAAGTAATAAGGCTTGCATTGTTTTGATTCTTTTTTGTAAATTTTATTCATAATAAATAAAAATAATAAAATAATGAAAATTATTTTAAGTAAAATTAAATTTGCCTGCATTATATTTCCCCAAGCTTTATGCTTCTCTTTCAGGTTCGAACTGTTTATTGATTGCATCGCACAAATATCCAGCCTCTGTGCCAACCAGGCTGCATAGCATTTGTGGAAAAATCTTAAACCAGGGGTCCCCAACCCCCCATCCGTGGACCAATACCAGGCCGCAGCATGCCAGTAACTACTCCACACAAACAAGCAAAGCCCCTTCCGCGGGATGCAGGCAGCACACAAAACCACACATCCTCCAGTCCGTGGAAAAACCTCTTTCCACGGAACTGATCCCTGATGCTCAAAAGGTTGGGGACCTCTGCCTTGAACCACATGCAGATTTTTCCAGGTTCATGTGGCAGATGTGAAAGGCAAGCACATAAGCCCAGCCCCACGTTTCATGTGCCCTGAATCTCATGCAGCCCTTCAAAACTGGATTGCTCCCCTAAAGTATATACATTCAATATAACTAATCCTAACATAATTTTCTATCATAACTTCCTGAATATAATGTATTCTGCTGTGTATATAATTTACTCAAATAGTGTAAAGCCTCAGAAGAAGAAGAAGATAAAGGCCATGGACTTTCTTGCTATCAGTCCCAATATGGATGATTTTGAGTAATCAGAATCCAATCAGGTTAGTTGTGTAAAATCTGTTCTTTTTTATATTCCTATGATCATGATCGTCAACATGATCGCCAATGTCCGATAACGGATATAGCACAAGAAGAAGAAGAATAAATATAAATGAGTTCTCAATAATTCCAACATATCGGCTAAATGTCTGAGAGCACATTATTTTTTTCACCTCTAGATTAAAAGAGATATTCTACAGGCTTGGGTTGACTATGTTAGTTTGTGTATAACCGCCAAAATATAAGAGAACCTCATAATAAACAGTTTTATAAGGAAAAAATCTCATTCAATTTTCTCTGCTCATGATCACTACTACTTATCACTGTGGTGAAAACCAATTAATTGTTTTCTGGATTTCCAAATTCTACAGGGCTTCCTTTTAGTATGCTTCATGCAAGTGGAATTTTAGGCTTTGAACTACTATAAAGAACTCTTAATCTTCTGGACCAAGTTATATTGGTAATCAATTTGCCAAGTGCATTGTAGTGTGAATCTACACCACAAAGTCCATCATTATATTTATCTGAGTGATAGCTTAGCATGGCCTTTAAATAAATACTGAAAGCCCAGCAATGTCTGCAATGAAAACATAAGTTCAAAAACTGCACTTAGCACACTATAGTGGAAAGGCACCCCACTGGTCACTTAATGGGAATACTCACAGTAAATACAATTCCTGAAGTTAAAATGGTTTTAGTCCAATACTTTAAACCTCTTTAAAGGAAGCCATACCACCTCTGATTTGTATGGATGGCTTGTTTTTCAGGTTATTCCCTGCAGGTAACAATATGAATATTTCTTTTCCCTCAGAACTGAGAAAAGGAAAATAGATAGCTGTAATGGAACTGTGGAAGCAGTCAAGCAGTAGATTGATTCCACTGGAGAAATTCAATGCAGTCCAACAGATTCCCTAGGATTTGGTATCCTGCTGCTTCAGGCGCAACTTCTTGTAATGAGAAACAGAAGACTTTTTGTCAGGAGCGTCAAAGCTTGTAGTGAAGGCTTGAAGGTAAACCCCTTCCCCCTCAAATAACAAGACCTCAAATTGAAAATGTCTCTCCTCAGAAAATGCTTTTGCACATGGAAAGACTACGACGTCCAGTTCAAGGTACAAGAGAGGTCAAGAGCCTTTGCAAGCCAACAACATTCGATGAAGAACATACAATTGTGCGTATCTCTACAACAGGATCAGAGGCAACAACTTGGCTATAAGTATGACACACAAGAAAAGAAATGGTGAAATGATTTGATAAACTTATAATTGCCTTCTGCTGCAACTCTTTTGTACCCAGGTGGTATGTCTGGCCAATTTTTGAATGTTACAGAAGCATTGCTGAAAAAGTATAGCAAGTAATTAAAAGAGAAAGGTCATTTTTGGTGAGAGAGATTAGAGAAAATTGTGGAGAAAAAGCCTATCGATAGCTCTTGTCATGATGTCTAGAGACAATACTTCTCTAAGAGGCAATTCCAATTGGGAGCACTCATCTGCTGCTTTGGGTCCTCCACTGGACCCTAATTATTGGCCACAGAAACAGAACGTTAAACTTGAGAGGCTTCAGGACTATCACATTATTTTCACCAATTTTGTAGAAAAGTGTGGTTTGCTTAAAACAACAATGAAAACAATGAAAATATGAGCTATACTTTTTATGGATGTTTAAATAATAAAGTATATTTCAATAAAATGTCTATGAAGGCCAATATTTTGAAATCAGGCAATTACTAATATCTTGTTTAATTGCACAATGCAGTTTTCTTGACAATTCAGACTGTGTTTCATTTTTAATTATTAAGTGCCTAAGGGGCAATTTTGTCCCCATTTTGCCATTGACCCATTGTATCTTAATCTTCATCTCTCTAGAGGATTGAGATTTTTATTTTATTGCCCTTCACAATAGTAACACGTACCTGAAATTAAATTTAAAGGATCCAAATAATACAGTACATTCATACATTTAAAGCAATTTTCTAGAACTTGAATATTCAATAAAATATGGGTCTGTAATAAAAAAAAATGAAAGCACCTGACTGAGATCATTGGAAACAGAATAGCAATTAAAATTCCCTCAGTGAAATGCTCCTTTATCACAACCAAATCCCACTGAATGGTAAGAAGTGCCTCTTTTCATTTTGTAAATACTACTAGTAGTATTTGAAGATACTATTACTGAGGCTGCCCATCATTATTTCCTTTTTTTAAAAAACTGTATTTCTGTGACCGAAAGTAAAGAAACATGAAGAGAAAGAATACAAAGTTAGATCACTCTGCTCTTTTGCCCTTGCAGCTATACCCTCTATAACTACTCTCTGTTTCAAAGGAAATCACTCTATTTTGTTCAAACTCTGAGAATCAAAATTAATTAGTGACAGGTTAAAAACATGGAGCACCAAAAGGAAGAAAAGGTCTCACCAAAAACACAATGCTATTCTCTTAACAGGTACTTGGGAGGTTTTGAAAAGTAAAATTAGACCTAATGCAAAACATTCCAGAACTCTCGAAGGAGTCATAAAAAGAATAGCCAATCTTCCCATTCCAAATATTACAGATTTTAGCCTAGGGAAAAGCTGAAAAGGCAAGTCTATTGTTCAATCACTTTTAATTGTGCTTTTAAAATTGTTCACAAAAGATATTGTCCACTTGGAAGGTTGGATGTGCCAATGAGAAAGAGACCTCATCACTTATTGATCAGCTAATCATAGATCAAAGACTGATGAGTAAGTATAAACTACTTGCTAATAACTTCATTGTTTCCTCTCTTTATCAGAGTGGTAATTCCTATCCTATGTGTATGTAAAGAGCCAGAGAAAATGGCAATTCCTTAAGACTGGTGTACATTTGCATATAAATCGATACAACTAGCTGAAGAGCTGAATGGATAGGGAAGAAAACCCTACAGAGCAAAGTACAACGATGCTGTGATGATCAAGGAACTTGGGGGGCCTGGGTGGTGCTGGTGGTGAAAAGAAATTGGTTTTCTTACTCTGTATAACATAATTGTCAATAAATGTAAAACAGTTTCTTTTGTCCTATGCATGTAAAATATTTTATTCTCTGTTTTCAGAATGAAAAAGGTACCTGTACAAATTGCCTTATTATATCTGCAAAGTAGTTTCTTGCAGCTTCTATGGGGAAAACTATCACAGAAAATATACATTGTGTCTCACCATCTTGGGTGGAAACAGATCCCTGCCATAAATCACAGTAAGGCTAGCTCTCACCTGTAGGGCTGCAAAGTTCGGTTACCATAATGCAGAGCTTCTTCCCAAAGGCCCAGGTTTATGCAGGCATCCATGGCAAGGTCAAGTAATTTTAGCTGATAGATGTTGGTGTCTGGGAGACGAGAGGTGTTGCTCTTCAGTGATGTCTGGCAGGACAACAGAACTTGCTCCCACTCTGACATTTATTTGTGTTAAGGATTAACCCATGACAGACGCATCAATCAAAAGGCAAAACATTAAGTTAAAACATTGCAGTTTTCTATTCTAGAAAACCCTCTTCCATAGAAAACTCCATTTTTTTTAAACCAACAAAGCATGAAAGCAAACTACATGAATATGAATGGTGATCATATGAAACCAAAACTAATTTTGTTATATTTAATTTTCTTTTAAGAATTATTTTCTTAAAGTAAACAACATATTTCTTGTAACCTTTTTCTAGTTGAATGTCTCAACAAAATTAAAACTTATCTTATAAATTAAAAGAAATATTTTTTTTAATGTAACAATTTTTGGCCACAGAAATTTTTCCTTGATGAAAATTACATGATCAGGGATGGGAGGAGAATGGGGACAGCAATACATGGGGGAAGGAAAGAGGGACTCTATACGCCGATGCTCAGCATTAATAAACATATTTGACAATCTTCTTTGGGATGTAGCAAAGAAGACAAAAGATCTTCATTTTAATATGAGCTCTTTATGAGTTTCTGCCATAATTAAATCAACATTCATAAGATACTTAGTTGACATTGATATTCCCAACTTCACATAGTTAATACCAGTCAAGGAACAATCTGAATTTATCAACTGATTATGTACGAGGGCAATTCAGAAATAAATCTCCGTTTGGTTATCAATGACAGACACTCGCAGAAACAGAACTTTTATTATATACATTAGAAAACTACAACATTACATTACTTTTCAACATAATCTCCATTCAAATTGAGGCAGTTGTCATAACATCTTACAAGGTTTGAAATTCCTTTGTAGTAGTCACTCGGTGCAAAATCTGTGCTATTGGGGGGTGATCAAAAACATCACAACGGAACTGTTGTAAAAGTTCTTGGGTGTGTCTAGCGGTGTGTAGGCAAGCATTACCGTGAATCAACACCACACCGGAAGTCATCATGCCCCAACGCTTGTTATGGATGGCTCGTCTGAGTTTTCATAATGTTTCACATAGACTTCTGAATTGATGGTCGAACCACTAGCAGTACTCCTTTGGCATCTTCACATTAGGCAGGATTTTCTATGGCACCATTTCAAGGGGATCCAGGATGGATGTAAAATTGAAAAAATTGAAAAGAGTCTTCATATTTTGCTTCTTCCAGGGGCCTCTGAAGTGTAGCCTGACTATGTTCCTAATCTTCCCCAAAAGGGGAATTCAGCTAATGGCTGTAATATGTATTGGAAACAGGAAGGTGGAGAAAGAATGAAAATTGTTATTATCATTAGGTCCAAGGATGATTTCTTGAGGAGAGGGCAGGCCACCGCAGTCTTATATGCACTGATGTTGGCATTAATGAAAAGATTTGATTCCCTGCTCTATACAGATTATGGCCTTTAGTTGAATCCTTGTCCCAAAGGGCAGTGGAATGGTAAATTGAAGAAAGAGATTGCACTAAATGAAAAAGAAGGATTTTTTAGAGAAGCTAGTCTAAAGAAAAACAGAGCACAACATTTGATGGGGCTGGAGAATAGTGATGAAAAGTTAGGAAAAAAATCTCACAGTTATTAAAGACAGCAAAATAGTGTAGATGTCTAAACTTGATTTACAAATATTGTATACTGAAAATGGAATGAAATATGGTTTACTACTTTAATAGTGAAATTTCAATAAGTGAGTATTGAATTGCAACATATATGGCCAAAAGATTAACATTATTAAATATACCCCCCTCTCTCTCTCTCTCTGTGTGTGTATGTGTGTGTTTGTGTGTCCATGTACTTTTGGCTCTTTAAACTATATTAAGACTTAAATATTTAAAGTGTCTGTCATCTTGTTCTGCAAGGCCAAAGCAAAGTTTCTTCTGCCAAGAGCCACGTGTGACACAATGGTTAGAATGCAGTATTGCAGGCTAACTCTGCCCACAGCCAGGAGTTCGATCTGAAGGGCTCAAGGTTGACTCAGTCTTTCATCCTTCTGAGGTTGGTAAAATGAGGGCCCAGATTGTTGGGGGCAATATACTGACTCTGTAAACCTCTTAGAGAATGCTATAAAGTACGATGAAGCAGTATATAAGTCTAAGTGCTATTGCTATTGCTCCAGAAACTTAAAGATACAAATGCTGAGGAAAAAAAAATTAAGGACAAAAGAATTTTCTATAACCCAGAACACATTTTGATTTGATTTACCTTCTGCTTCCTTTTCTTTAAATATGATTTTATTTGAAAACTACAAAATACATATAATAGGCAGGAAGAGAACGAATTTAACAAAGACTAGAAAACAAATTGATAATTATATCCTCCTGATCGGAATGGAAATGTGTGTATTTTGTGAACCAAGGATACCTTCACGTGACTTTGGTGCTCCTATTGCATTTATAACTTCTTCGGCTTCTTTCCAAGCTTGCTCATCACCTGCCAACATGTCAGCATCCTGCTTTGGCAGAAATAAAAGCAAAAAAACAAACAAACAAAAAACATCTGGTTAAAAAAGAGAGGGAAACTAATAGCCCCATCACCGGTATTAAGTAACATTGGACACCAGAATTTTCTATTAAAATTGAAGCTGGAAGTCAGGTATTCAAAGTTTCAATCTAAGAAAATTCTAAAATTAATTTACATCAAACATTAATTAAAAAATGGCATTTGGATTTCATATATTTATATTATAAGCTTACATAATAAGGAAGGGGTCAAATAAGTGAGTCAAAAATACAATGTCCATGTTTAGAAGAGCTTATAAGCTACATTTTGGGAGGTAAAAAAGGAAACAAAGATGAAGTAAAGAAAATAGAAAAGAATACGGTAAAATGGATGAAGCTGAGAAAAGCAATAATAATGTCTTTCATCTTTCCAATGGCATGGAAGAAGCAGGGTTTTGAGAAGAGTTTTAGATGAATAGGAGTGCTCAAGGAAAAATGAGCAGTCATGGGACTTAAGAGTCAGCAGAATACACTGAGATAATCTATGTGGGGAGGAGAAACAAGGAGAGACTTAAACAAAGACCAGGATGATACTTCAGGTATTGAAATAACACCAACTAATGAATACTTGTTCTATATTGTACAAAACGTCTCTGAAACACCATTAGTCACTATCAAGAGAGGCAACCAGTTAAAAAAAACTTACTAAAACCAAAGGAGAAAGTTCTTTAACAAAGCTCAGCTTTGTCTGCTTTAGCAGGGATTTTTAACTTGCTCTGCTTGTCAGCAGAAAATAATAATCCCTGAATGCTGAACACGTGAGGTTTACAGCAAATTAAATTCTAAAAAAACATCTTCTCTGCCAGTACCATAATTTAAACAAAGGAGCTTAGGGATGGCAAATCAATTTTTATATCAATTATCATCCTAAGAGCACAAAAGTTCAGAGGTTTTAATCTGCATTTTCCACACAGTGAAGTTAATTATTGTGCATTCCAAAAAGGAGGAAACATATACCCAGAATTCATATTAATTCCATGTGTAGCTTTAGTGCTGCCTAACATAGAGGTCCAAATGGAAGGAAAATAGGTGAACTCTTATATATCTCAACAGCTTATTGCATTAAATGGCTTCTCAGGCTTCAATTATATCATACGTAAGAAATTACAAAGAAAGTAGTGTTCCTTTTAAAATTTGCAGATGTAATTGCCAAAACATAAACAATCTGATCGCAATATGTTCACCTGGAAATAATTTTGTGCAGAATGAAAGCAAGTAAAGGTCAGCAGTAGAACAATAAAGTTCATGCTGAAGTACTTGTGTCAGTTATGTTATAATCGTACAGATCCAGACATGTTAAATTTTGCATATAACAGGGATGAGTCAAGGTTGGCCGTGATCTAACTATGCTGCCTTCAAAGGGCACAGGATTAATTACATAGGATTTGATTTAATGTGTCTTTTTTTTTTTAATTCTGAGAAGACATGTAAGAAATTATGTACTGTAATCGAAAGACTAGAAAGCCAGATCTGCATGGTGCATGATCAACCAACAAAGGGAACTCAGGTCTAAAGTGGAAAACCCCAAAGAGTGATATGATTCTATCATCAGAGTATTAACAGTCTATTCGAGGACAATGGAGTTACCATAGCTGGGCTGCAAAATTTAGGTGGGCATTAAATGGCAACAAAGAGATTCATTCTGTCTCTCTCTCAAATTTTTTGCTTTCATCTAAATCTGGTAGCCACAAACAGTATCAAGAATCTTAATTAATTACTTCTGACAATGCAATTGACTCTACAAGTTTTTCGTAGAAAAACTGTATAGGTGAAGTAGCTATATCTGCTGTCCCCTTCTCTGTATTTCATGTACTCTGCCACATCATCTCCCCAACCAAATAATTGGGGGAAGGAGATTATGAATACAGCATAAACTCCGTGTGACTGGAAAACAGGTAGAGAGGTTTGCTTCCTTCTGCAAACCAATTTTGGTCACCATACTACAAAAAAGATGTTGAGACTTTGGAAAAAGTTCAGAGAAGAGCAACTAAAATGATCAAAGGCTTGGAGACTAAAACATATAAAGAACGGCTGCAGGACTTGGATGTGACTAGTCTACAGAAAAGAAATAATAGGGGTGACATGATAGGAGTATTCTAATATTTGAGGGGCTGCCACAAAGAAGAGAGGGTCAAATTATTCTCCAAAGCACCAGAGGATAGGACAAGAAACAATGGCTGGAAACTGATCAAAGAGAGAAGCAACCTGGAATTAAGGAGAAACTTCCTAACAGTGAGGACAATTAACCAGTGGAACAGCTTGCCTTCAGAAATCTTGGGTGCTCCATCCCTGGAGGTTTTTAAGAAGAGACTAGACAGTCACTTGTCTGAAATGATATAGGTTCGCCTGCTTGAGCAGGAGGTTGGACTAGAAGACCTTCAAGGTCCCTTCCAGCTCTATTCTATTGTAAACACTGTATCTCTCTGATGTTTTAAGCACAGTTACATTTTAAAGCAATATTATTGTTAGGCCACTAGAAAGTAGCAGAACAAGAAAGCTTTTCTGGAACTCTTTGTCCCTTCATACAACTTGGAAGAGGAGTGGGGTTAAGGAGAAATATAGCTGCTGCTTCCTTAGGCAGAAGCAAAAAAACCTCAAGCAAACCATGTCCCATCAGATGAAGAAAAAATGATATGCCAAAGAGGATTTTTTTCATCCTTAATACCAGACTAAAAGAAATTATCTTTTTAGAACATATGAATGGCAGGGTAAGTTATCTTTTCAATTATGAAACATACATTAATACTGGATGTTTCCATTCTTACCAAATGAGGAAGAAGATTCTCTATCACACATACTGTACATACCTTCTTCTTTAATGCTTTAAGCAGTATTTCTAATTTCTCTATATACATGGTTGATTTAAGCACCATATTTTCTCTGTCACAAGAGAAAGCCATGCGTAATAGTCAAAAGACATCAAGCACAGAGATTAATGCAGATTTCTCATCTTGTCTGTATTGTGAAAGGCCCAGGGCAAAATAGGGTGCTTTACCAGACACCACTAGTAACAAGATTATTGATTTGTTTGTTAGATTTATATACTGCCTTTCTTCTGGGAGTTTAAGTTGGCTTCTACAAGGATCACTTACATTTTATTCCTACAACAACCCTTAAAATAGATTGGACTGAGGGAAAGTGACCTGAGACAAATGTCAACCAGTGGGTATCCATGACTAAGAATGGACTTGAACTTGAGTCCTAGCCCAAAACTAAACACTGCATCACAATTTACCTCCTACTTCATATATCTGAGATAGCTTTTTCTTCCTGGTAGTCCCAGTAGGTTTTCCTAAAATGAATTACCTTATTCAGAAACACCCCCCCCTAAAATATAGCTGGTGCAATTGTGAAGAAAAATTAAATATCATAATATGTCTCCATATCTGAGCTTCTCCGTAACATTAATCAGTTATAGCATTTGTTGTTCTTATCATAAGAGACTAACACGGTTCCTCCTTTATAATGAATTTGCTGAGATAGGCACAGTGAAAGGTTAGAGATTTCAAGATTCTTCTCCCAGAAGACCTGAAGATTCATGCTGTAGCCCTACTTTCTGGCTTGGGATAGTGCCTTGGTAATTTCTGCCGCCACCACCTATAGCAGTGTTTCTCAACCTTGACAATTTTAAGGCATGTGGACTTCAACTCCCAGAATTCCACAGCCAGCATTGCTGGCTGTGGAATTCTGGGAGTTGAAGTCCACATGCCTTAAAATTGTCAAGGTTGAAAAACACTGACCTATAGACTAGAGGTGTCTCACCTAGCAGTCATCCCTAACCTTAGTGAGCGAGATACAGGGCTGTTGAAGTTCATATTGCCTTTCTGGTGACTGAGAAGTCAAAATGCAAAAGTTAGAATAGTTTGTAAAGTGCCATCTCTTGGCTAACAAGTATGGTGAATCAATTTACACCATCTCACACGAGATAAACAAAATTAGGAAGGATTTGAGTTTCTGCTCAACTTTTTCAAGATCAAACAACATTCATTAGGTGCTACCACCACTATGCGTATTAGATAGAATAAGTGCATCAGCCATGTTTAATCAATTTTAAATAAATGAAGGTCAACACCATGGACCTTGAGCAGAACAGCCCTTAGTATTCCTCTGAAAAGTCAGCGGTAATCTTATCTGGAAAATAGGTAGCATATCCACGATGTAGATGAGCAGTATTACTATACAAATCTATGTTATTGAATATGGTAATGATGATTAAAAATAGTTGAAAATATCCTTTTCTGACTACACAGAAGCTCCTGCTAACGTTTGATTTTGCTGCTAAAATTTTATTCTGTTCTTATTTTCCAAGAAAAATGCATATATTTCAACCCTTCCATAATGCAGCATGCAATTGAAGCAACAGGGTTAGCATTAAGCGGCTGGTTTCATTCACAAGCACAGCAAAGAACCACTGTCACTTCAATTCTATATCTATAAAGCAACCACAGGAGACAGTCAGTGAAAGAATAATTTCATCTTTTATAGAACAAGACTTCTATACAAATAAATGGTTTCACTAGATGTGCCTTAGAAAATTGAGCCATGTGATACGACTCTAGCTACAAATATAAAATGATCCTGAACTAGAAATTGCAGAGACCTATTGCAGTTATTAATACCGGCTTTTAAATAAGTTTATTTCATTTAGCAGCTTATATTTAGGTAGGGTAAAATATGAAAGGACTCATTCAACAAATGACATTCTGGGTTAAGATTCCAATTAAACCTTTAGGCGTTCAAAGAAGAAACAGAAAAATTAGGAGGTAGGGGTGAAAAATGCTGTTTCAGCCTGAGAATAAGTAGAATTTTTCACCTGGTAGTATCTTTTAACTAAATATGCTAGGGAAGAAGCTGCCCAGCTTTTAATCAACTATTTGAATAGATGCCTCAGGTAAATTAAAGGAAAAAAGAAATCTAAGTTATAAGCTATGGAAACAATTGTAAACTGCAG